AGTAAAACCGCACAGTTGGATATTATAAGACGGTTGGGGTTCGGGGGGGGGCACCGCGTCCGCAAGGATGGTCACAATTTCCAAAAACAAACAACCAATACTATCCTGACTTGTAGACGAATAGAATTGCAGCACGATGTTTGTTGGTATCAGTCTTATTAAACCCTCAGGGACAGATTCAACATGAACCGCCACTGCTCCCCTTTTGTTTGTTTTGAAATAAGAGATGAATTACTTCACATGCGGAAATCGGCATCGATCCTTCGCTTATCCATACAAAAAGATGAGGTTGTGCACTAATAGAACGCACGAATGCTTAAAGGAAAGGAGGCAGGGGCGTTGACTGCTAGCTTGATCGGTGCTGTTTTGTGAAGTTCAGTATTGTTTCCGATAAAAAATGCAATCTAAAAGTAAAAGCTATACCACTTTCTCTTTACGACATCTTTGGTTAGCCTGCTGCTTAATGTTTCGAGTCTGCTCTGCTCAAAAAACGGTAATCGCGATTAGTCGCGTTCCAGTGTTGCCAGCTTTCTGTGAAAATGCACAAAAAGGACAGTGCAAGACAACGGTATTGGGATTAACAAATCAGGGAGGAGACTATCGCCTAGGATTAGAAGAACCAACGTCCAAGCGGCAAGTGCAGGAAGAAGGAGTGAACAAGTCTGTCAAGGTCACGCTCTCCACTAGAAAAATCCACGTGACTCAACGGGGGAGAAAAAGAATGCAGCTGTGGTCCTGTTGTGTACCGAAAATTTCCCACACCCTAAGGAGCACGTAAGCACTTTACAGTTTAATTAGGCGAGCGAATTCAATGGAAGCAAGGCTTTTGCAGTCAGCTGTTGAAGTACTGGGGGGCGTAAGTTAAGGCGCCATGGGAACGCGACATATGGAGACACACGTAAACAATAACAATTGACTCCAAGGTCTAAGCATGACAAAGTGAGAACATTTTTGCCTGCAGAATTTTTATGCGTTTAAAATTAATCGCCAGAAAGGTGTGCTAAAAAGCAGGTTGCTTTTGAACGTTGAAAAACAGAACAGTAAGTCCAAATAACGAGAAAAAACGACAAACGATGGAGCATGTACCTCAGCACACGAGTACTGTTGGACTCGTCAATTATGCTCAGCGTGAGAGCATTAATCACCCGAATGATGGAACCACCCTCGGGAAGTTCAGCCGTCTTCTCGTGAACCATGACATGGAGGACGGCGTAAATGAATTCCTTCAAGGACTCACGCGAGCATTCTCTGGCCAGAGGCGGTCGTTTGAATAGCTGCCGAAATAGAGGAAAAAAATGGTCCGAGTAAGTGTTGCAAAGAGCTGAAATTCTGGAGGTTATACCACATCGTATATAACATTCAGGGGTACAGAGATGACAGAAATGAAGGATCAAGGAGGGGGCAGGGCGGAACGCCAAAACGAGGCTCTTAGGTCGGCCATAATGTTTCACAAACAGAAAAAGACCAACTGAATTTCACCAGGTATGGCAGAACGACTTGAGCTCAAAATGTTTGGGTTCTACGATCAGCAGCCTCTGCACAGTATTCAGCACACACTATCTTACCAAGCCCAGCACATTAGTTCAGGTATGGTAAAAAGGAAGCTTCTTGAGTTGGAAACTCATTCGTCCAGCTCAACCTGGACGGAAAAGGCGTGATCTACACGTGATTCGGCTTATAGTGAGGGAGTCATCGGGAGACTACCTGCCTTGTTTCTCCCTTCAATATCCAGCAAAGTTCAGGTCAAAATCAATCATTCGCTGACATTTTACGTATACGTTGGTACCTTAAGCCAAGGCA